CCCAGCCAAGAAGCGGAAGATGAACTTCTCGGAGCGGGAGGTGGAGATTATCGTGGAGGAGCTGGAGCGGGGAAAGCACCTCCTCGTCAACCACTTCAACGCGGGCGTGCCGCTGGCCGCCAAGGCCGCCGCCTGGCACGACATCCTGCGCCGCGTCAACGCCGTCGCCACCTGCCACCGCGAGCTGCCCGAGGTCAAGAAGAAGTGGTCCGACCTCAAGACCGAGGTGCGGCGCAAAGTGGCCCAAGTGCGGGCTGCCATGGAAGGGGGAGGCGAGAACCAGAACGGCGGCGGCAACGGGCCAGAGGGCGAGGACCCGGCGGGCGCCGCGGCCGCCCCGGTGATCCTCACCCCCATGCAGCAGCGCATCTGCAACCTGCTGGGAGAGGCCACCATCATCAGCCTGCCGAGCGGCGACTGCGGCGCGGGTGACGGGAGCGAGATCCCCATCACCGCGGCGGCCACCACGGTCACCCTGACCCAGAGTGAGTGCTGCGCCCGCCGGAACGCTCTGGGCTGGACTGCAGGGCCACACTGACACACCCTGAGCCTCATGTGGGGAGAGAGACACAGAATGGTTTTGGTTGGAAAGGACCTTAAAGAGCACCCAGTTCCAACCCCCTGCCATGGGTAGAGACACCTTCTGCTAGATCAGGTTGCTGCATCCGGCCTGGCCTTGAACGTTTCCAGGGATAGGATGCCTACAAGTTCTTTGGGCAGAGAGAAGGCCCAACAAAAAGAAATCCCCACATCTCAGTAATGAAATGCTCCTCCCAGTCTGCCCTTGTGCTGTAGGGGAGTGGCCCCAAGGCACGAACATACAAAGTCGGCTTTGACGGCTGGACTCAGCCTTAAGAACAAGGGAATCGAGGATCCTTTGCACTGTGGGATATTCTTCAGTCCCTCTCTGGGAACAAAAGCAGGGGGAAAAACATCTTCAGGGCTGATTTTTCAGTGTGCAGTGTCCCAAATAGCAGCTCTTCTACCGACAGGGGCCATTCTGGGTCTTGTCTTTGCTGTTATGTCAGTTAGTTAATGCTGCTTGGAAAGATTGTTCTAAACTGGAGGTTGAGAAATTATATTGTCTAGACAGATAAGGCATTCCTTTGGATTGTGCAGCCCAGAAGGAAGCTCGACTGAGGGTGGAGTAGACTTAAATAGGTCATTTTGTGCATTGCTGGCCATTGTATGTTATCTTGCTGAACAGGCCGTATTCCTGTGATATTCACTGAATAGGCCTGTAGATAAAAATCCTGTCTCACAGCTACTCCTGACTCCTTTTCTGTCCTTTGTTCTCAGTTCCTGCAGAGACAACCTACCACAGTCTGGAGGACGGGGTTGTGGAGTACTGCACCACGGAAGCCCCCACCACGGTCACTGCTGAGGCGCCCTTGGAGATGATGGCCCATCAGCACGAGGTGTCTGCCAAGCCCCAGGAGCTGAAAAGCCGCATTGCCCTGAACTCAGCCAAGCTCCTGCAGGAGCAGCGAGTAACCAACCTGCACGTGAAGGAGATTGCCCAGCACCTGGAGCAGCAGAACGACTTGCTGCAGATGATTCGCCGCTCGCAGGAGGTGCAGGCGTGTGCCCAGGAGCGGCAGGCACAGGCCATGGAGGGGACACAGGCAGCACTGAGTGCCCTCATCCAGGTCCTCCGCCCCATGATTAAGGACTTCCGTCGATTTTTGCAGAGCAATACACCCAGCCCATCCGTCACCGCTGACCCTGGCCAGACAGGGCAGCAAGATGGTATGATCCAGTGAAAGAAGCAGTGATGGGAGGGGAGGTTTAGTTTGGTGTTAGGAAAAATTCCTTCCCTGAAAGGTTGTCAAGCCCTGGCACAGGCTGCCCAGGGCAGTGCTGGAGTCACCATTCCTGGAGGGAATTAAAAGATGTGTAGATAGGGCTTTTGGGGACATGGGTTAGTGGTGGATGTGGCAGTGCTGGGGAAACAGTTGAACTCAATGATCTTAAAAATCTTTTCCAACATAAACAATTTTGTGCTGCTACGGGACATCAGTCATGCTAAAAACCTGCCCATGCTGGCAGAGGACACTGGGGGTGCTGCCTTTTCTCAGTGTGAATGGCTCCCTTGGAGTTTGGCTGAATCTAAACAGCTTTCTCTGCTAATCTTGTTCTAATCTGCCTTTTCAGATTCTCATACAGAGCCATAGCAGGATGTGTAATAAACCAGCAATTTAACATGGATTGCTTTAGTTCCTCGAACAATAGATTTCTTTTTAAAAAATGTATTTTTTTAATTTCTGTTTGGAAACAATCTATCCTAAGTATGACACCTCTCTTTTTGTCTCTCTCTCGAGATCTATAGCCTTTAACTGACTTCAAAGGTGGAGAATTTTGTCGGGAGATCAGTGCTGCAGCTGCCAAGGTACAGTGATTGTGAACCCACAGTGCACACAGTGAATGCATTTCTGGCTCTTGCTGAAAGCATTTACTGGAAACGTGGTACCGGATGTGGTAGAACCTTCCCTCTGCACTGCGAGCTGTGGATCGTGCTCCTGCAGCGTCACATCCAGCCCCTGCAGACCAGCACCCAGCCTCTGTGCAGTTCAAGTCCTGCAGAAACAGTGCATTCACCTCATGTTTTATCTGCGTGCAGTCATGAAATTTCTCTGTCAACTTGGCAGATGTGATGAAAGTTTCATGTCTTGGGTACCAGAAACTCTCCTGGGATATCTCTTGGCGCAATGTCTTTATTTGTCGCAGTAAACACCCGAGGGCCTGGATGAGTTTCACTCGAGTGGATGGAATGGTGAAACTCCATCTCTGCCTCATCTGCATAGTTTTTCACCTCCAGAATACCTTGATCCATCAAAGTGGATCTGGACTAAGGTCCTGAACTAAGCTGCAGCCACATAGGACTTTCCAATGTTTAGCAGTTTGTCAGTCACTGATTTGAGTGAATTTTGGGGCATTACTTGGTTCTGCTGCTGGTGATGTTTGTTTTGTACTGTTTGGGAGTTGGAAGAGAGTCCAGCCATTCCACATTTGTCTGTTGGCTGGGCTCATCCTGAGAAACAGAGTTGAGGTTCTCCTCGCTATCTTACACCGTTATACAGGGTGAAACAAAATTACAGCCACTTCTGAGGCATTCAGGCTATGGGGCTTGGTCCTTAATGAGAAAGCTTAATGATTCTCACAGGCTTGCAGTAACTTCATAAACTTTTAGATGTACAAGGTCCACTTGTACATGCATGGAAGAAAACTAAGGGAAAGAAAAAAGAAAGTGTAAGTCTTCTCCTTCTACCTTGCAAAGTGGCTTATATTTAACAGGCTTGTTGCTTACCAGGTTATTACTTTTGAAATTGAACTTTTCCAGAGCTGAGGGTATTTACTTGCTGTTCAGTCTCCTTTAGGTCTGACAAGGGAGTGAATTTGCACAATCAAATGAAACCTTTACACAGCCTTTAATGGGGAGATGCTGATGGGGGTCCCTGGCCTTTACTCATCTCCTCTTGTCTACAAATCTGATGGGGGAGAAAAGGACAACACAGTGAGAAGGGTTTGGTCCCTGGAAGACTCCCAAGCCCTTGGGACTGACACCTCCAAGCTGAGTCAGGATGGATCCTGCCTTGTCCGGCATCTTACCACATGAGTAGCACTTGCCTGACTCTTCCTCTTAGACTTCGTGGAATCAAATCAATTGCTGAATTGAAATATATTTTTAAAGTGAGAACTATGTCATATGTGTTGGTTTACCTCATTTGTGTAATGATCTCTCCTTTACAAATATGAATTTTAATAAAAAATACATTTTGGTAAACAGGCTGTTTCAGTTCATTGGTGTGTGCCCAGGCAGAAGTGAAAATGAGTTCATGACAACAACTTTGCAACAGAGATTCCTCACTATGAAGGGACCCAGGAAAGCTGTGAACAACCACGAGTCACGGTAGCTTTTCCTTGGTTGAGAACCTTGTGGCCTTGTATTTACATAATTACAGTCTTTTTCAAATAATAGCTTTTACCTTGGAGCACGAGTTATTTCACAGTGTCTGACGGATTACTGAAATACAGTAATCTCCCAGCTGCTCAGAAGATGCCACAATAGCCTAAAATAATGGTAGAAATACCAGCCTTTGGCTTTAAATTGCAGTGTGCATTTTTTTTCAGTGACTGAGCACTTTAGCTGTGATGCTTTTCTAGAGGAGTAAACATGTTGCCATTGCAACCACCCATTTTTCTTGTCTTTTCAGGATAAATGCAGAGCTTAGACAAACCAGCAGCATTCAAGTGTGTACATTCTGTGTATAGATTTTTGTCTCATTAAAAAGATGTGGCAACATTTTAAATATAGGGTGAGCTGTGTGATGAGGGGCTTGGTTGTTGCTCATGAAGAGAGCATCAAACTTAGGGAAGGACAGAGAAAAGTGTCTCTTAATGCTAAAACCAGGACAAATAGGTGAACAGGACACTGACAGGGCAAATGAGTACACAGGACATTCAACTGAACAGGCAGCTGATGCCCAAACAGAACAAAAGCTAAGGAGTAATATTTATAGAGGTTTATTTGTTCTCCCCTACTGTTCTTTTTGTACGTAGAGATTTGTATTCAATATCCAGACTGGGAAGGAGCCATGCAGAGATGTTCTGCCACAGGGTGCCACGGACATGGGGGTGAGCAGCATCTTCCTTCCTGCTGGGGAAAGGGAAGTTTGGCAGGGGACTCTCAGTGGTGAGAAGAAAATGTTTGTGGCCGTGGAGGCAGCACCAAGCCGCCAAGAGCACGGCTGCTCGCTCTGGAGCAAAGTTGTCCTTGCGATGTGTGCGGCTGCAGCCCGGCTTTTCCAGGAGATGGCACTGCGCGCCGGGATCCCGAGCTGTGGCACTGCACCGTCCCAGGAACCACCCCTGTCCTCCAGACCTTGTGGGATCCTGTCTGCACCCTTCACTTTTCAAATCTTTTCAGGGCTGAGAGCCTGGAGAGGAAGAAATTCAAAGGGCAGAGAGCAGCAATGAGATATCCCTGGAAAAGTCATGCCTGGGGACTCAGACCAGGTCACTCTGCTTCCCACAAATACAGCAGAGGACACTGAGATGTCTGTCCTTGGGATGAGTTCACTGCAGAACCAAATGGGCAAGCACAAAACTATAAAAAATCACATCAAGTCCCTCATTATCAGCAAAGGGACGATAGGTTTTTTAGAAGGCCACACATCTGTCAGTATCCCACAAGTACAGTGTGCTGCCCTCACCACATGGCAGTTCGGGGAGCAGATCCCCACCAAGGGACAGAATGATATCACCTGCACACTCACCCAGATAACCTCTTCTTCCTCCAGCATGTTTTTAAAGTTTGTCAAGCCTGTTTTGGCAAAGCATCCTTCTGGGGATCTTTTGTTGTTTTTTTCCTGTTGTCATGTGAGAGGTTGTTTCCAGCAAGTACTGTCAGGAGAAGGGTGGTCAGGTCAGAGTGAAAATCAAAGCATTTAACATTCTTTGTCTTGCTTGAAAGCACCTGATAAGCTTCATGAGACTGGGAAGCACAGCTTCCAGACCCAGGTTTTGAGTGCAGGAATGAAGTCCATATCACCTGCAAGTGGAGCTCACGAGCCCTTGGGTCCCAGATGTGCAGGTGATTAACCCGAGGCAGAATCCCAGCGCCAGCAGGGACAGTTTCTCTCACCTCTGCCACCTGGGATCCCAAATCAGAGGTTGCTGTGTCAAGGAGGAACCACAGACTTACAGTTGCTTCTGATGTATGTGGGGTAATAGCAGCATTTGTGGGGCTGCAGTCAGTGGGACAAGACCACAGCCTCAACCAGCAAGTCTCTTGTCCAGCACAACACTGAAGGGATGGAAAGTGGGATATACAGACACAGAATAAGGCTTAATAAACACAACAAGCCTTGAGGCAAAGCAGGTTCCAAGTCTACAGATTTTGGAAGGGGCAAACAAGATCCAGTTCCACCCACAGACCTCAGAGAATGAGGCAGAATAAAGCGGATAGTCCTGCCACACATTCCCAGGACGAACTGAAGCAGACATGGAAACCAGTAAACAAAAAAAGCCAGGCAGCTGGATTTTCAGGTCTGGCCACATATCTGGGGAAAGGAATCCATCGACTCCAGATTCCTGGGCTCCCTTTGTCATTAACAGGATTCCCAGCATTGGCAGGCCAGAGACCCACCATGCAGGTGTGTCCTTTGCACATCCAACAGGAAACCCAGTCTGGCACAGAAAGTGAAACAGTTCCTGGTCTTTATGATGATGAGTTCAGTTAAATATGGAACAAGTGAAAAACACAAGCAGGTCAAAGTGCAGCTCACAGCCTGTTATTAAGCTGAGAAGATGCAAGCTTGGAATATCTCCGTGCCATGGGATAATCCCATGCAATGAGGATAGGTACCCATTCCGCTCACAGGGTTTCCAGCTGCCTGCATGCCACAGCTCACACTGCTGTGGTGTCTGCACCCCCTGCCACATTTTGGGAGCTCCCCAGCCTGGACCTGCCCCTGGTTCTGGGGCAGGAACCCACCTACTGCAGCTCCCATCCACAGTTCCTTGGAGCAGGGCATTGCATCCCACTCACAGCTACAAGAATGCATTTACAGCATAAAGCATCGTGATAATCTCTTTTTTTTTTTTTGGATGATGAGGCTGAAAGCTCATTAAGGCCATTACAGCAGAGGCGACAGGTGTAACAGAGGAGAACCATTACTGTGTTTATGCTGTTACAGCAATGTGTGTAATTTAGTTTTAAAACTTTAATCATTTGGTTGCCAGGACAAGTGAATTAGCGTAATGATGCTTTCCAGAGGAAGATGCTGATGATGTAGTTTGCGGGGCTTGTGCATCTGGGATTCCCCTGGGATAAGAGATAGGATTTGAAGGCTCACCAAATGTATTACAGGATCTACCTCACTTCACCTCACTGAGTTTTGTCCCTCCTGCATTTATCTCACCTTGTTTCTCCACTGCTGCTTTATCTCTGTCCTCAAAGCAGAGAGGAGGCAAGACAAGGCATCTATGTTGGTGTTCACTCACAGAGCACAGCAGCCCCAGCCTTGACCAGCCTGGCACACCTCTCCAGGAGAGCAGAGGTGAGGCCCAGACTTAACTGCAGAGCACAGACTGATAAAAATATCCCAGACTGATAAGACAATGCCCTGAGCCAGCAAAAGTTGAGGAAGTGGTGGCGGCACTGGGGAGCGGCCTCAGGAAAGGCTTAGGTCAGGAAGAGCACAGGGCAGGGATGTGGCTGAGGGTCATGGAGCAGAGGTGAGGTGGGCATGGCCATGGAGGAGAAATCTATAGGATGTGAGTCTGGGATGAGCAGAATCCATATGTATCAAAGCACCTTGGTCACACACACGTGGCCCCATGGTCAATGGACTGCACCTGGAGCAGAAAATAATATAAAGCCAGAGGGATGGTGGATGGCCTAAGATATGCTACACCCACATTCCCTCTGTGGGAGGCTCAGACTAACCCATCCCCTGTGAAAACAGGAGCACTGTCTCTTTAAAACATGTGCATTTCTCCAGAAACAAGTATGCAGCATAAACACAGCAAAATCAACAGGGTGAATTTTGAACTAATAAAGATTTAATCTCTCAGTCATGAGACTGCATTAGTTAGGAAAATACACGTATCACTGAGAATGCAGCTACAGCTGCTATACTACACACTGCTCAGCGGCTCGCTGGGCATTTTTCCAAATCCATTTATTTTTAACATCAGTCACATTATTCAATTAATTATAAAAACACTGAGGTTTTCAAGAGATGTTTCTGATAAAATTGCAAAGTAAATATGCGTGAGAACAGCAAGGATTAAAGTGTCTGTAAACTTTAGCATCTGAGGCTGTTGCTATAAACAAGAGAAGTCCTCGAGAAGGTTATTTACCAGAGTGAATCATAGCAGATAGCACAGTCTCCTCCCACGCCACACACAGGGATCGTTTGTCCTTCACTTAGGGCTGGAAGCAGAGCATCCACATGTCTGTCAGCCCTGTGCTGGGGCATGAGAAGTGTGAGAACTGGGCTGGATTCTTCAGATGCCTCTGGTATTTCAGCATCATAGCTTGGTAAATATTTAGCAGGCTCAGCTCTTTACCAATAAGCTGGAAACAGAAATCAGAAAATACCAGCCCACCTTCAGCAATGCCTCAAAGCCTTGAAAATACCAGATAGGAACTGATGGAAGGATTCAAGCCTCTCCTGTAACAGCAGCCTGCAAACCCTGCTGTAACTCCTGGTATGTCCTGTGATGGTTTCACTGTACCAATACAAAATGTTTTCCCAGTCCAAAGTCTGTGTAAGCTTAACCTGGCAAGCAAAAAATCATAACAATGCATTTGGCTTGATTCAATTTTTCACTTTTATCCAAGGACATTTCTGTGTACTTTTCCCAGCAGACTCTTTTTTTTTTTTTTTTCCCCAAGGCTCACATTGTGGTGGAATTATTTGATAGCTCTGATATTGTCTGCATAGATGGCAGATTACAGGCAAGGAGTCTGGGCATCAAAGCCTGGCAGAGAGCAAGGACTCCCAGGCTTTCATCCAAGCTTTGCATATCAGCCTTAGGAACAGCTCCTCCCATGGAAGCGTCAACTTCTCAGCCACAGAGGCTCTTGGGCAAATGCCTGAATTTAAAATCTAGGCAAATCACGTTAATGATTGCAGGCTTCTTCAAGATAAGGAGAGACATTTTGTTCTGCTTGCCCTTAAATGATGGAATCCAGCCTAACCAGGGATCCCAGCCGCAGCACTGGATGCAGCAGCAGCACATAACAGGGCTGATGCAGGGATGTGCCCAACTGGTTGCCACATCTCACATGTGGAGGGTGAGATTCCAGCTCCAGGCCCTGCCTCATCCTGCTCCCCCCAGGGCTCTGTGGTACCAGGGCCTCCCTCCTGCTCCCAGCCACGGACACTGCTGGCCTGACCCACAGCCACTCCGTGGTATCTTGAGGGGACAGGACAGCCACACCACTGAGTGGCCTGAGGAGTCATGTGCCTGCTGTCCACAGGACACACTGATGAGGGGCATGTCATCAGGAACTGCTCATGCACTGGGGGAAGTGGAAGTCAGAGGAAGGGTTCCTGGATGTCAGGAAGATGCAGAGATGACATCTGTCACTAAACCACAGAATGAGTCAGGTTCAAAGGGTCCACAGTGGGTCATCTGGTGCCATCTTGCTTTTCAAGTAGGGTCATCCCAGAGCACATGGTCCAGATAGTTCTGGAGTATCTCCAGTGAAGGAGACTCAACAACCTCTCTGGACTAGTGAGCAGTCACTGTACAGGAAAGAAGTTTTTCCTTATGCTCAGGTAAAACTTCTTGGGCATCACTTTCTGCCTACTGCCTGCTGTCTTTGGTGGCTGGCACCACTGAGCTGAGCCTGGCTTCATCCTCTAGGCACTCCACTTTGGGTATTTATACACATTAATGAGGTCCCCTCTCAGTTCTCTCTTCTTGAGGCTAAACAGGCCCATCTTCCTCAGCCTTTCCTCATAGTAGAGATGTTCCAATTCCTCAGTCACATCCTCGTTGTCCTCCACTGGACCCACTCCCAGGAGCTCCATATGTCTCAAGTAAGAGATGACTCTGCCATCACCTCGGCCCAGGCAGACACCCCAACCACAGACCCTTGCCATTCCCTCAGCTCCCGTGCCAGCTGGGGGCTGCTCAGCCTGCAGAGGGGGTTCAAGACATCCTGTGGGACGAGAAGCCCACCGCTCCAACTCCCGCACAGGGGACACCGAGGACCCGCTTCCCGCCCACCCCCTCAGGCAGGGGGCGGGGTTTTTCCAAACCGACAGCCCTCCTCTCCAATCCTCTCGCTCTCTTCCCCGCCCCGTGCCGGAGCAACCAATCACTGCCTCGCAGTGCTCAGCCCGCCTCCTTGCTGCTGTCCAATCGGAAAGCGTCGTTCGTGTTCTCTCGTTTCGATGGGGAGGGCGGGCGTTACGTGCTGTCGGTATTCCCAAAGCGCGGCGGCTCCGCTCTCCCCGCGCGTTGCTCGCGCACCGCCTGCGCTGTCGGCGTAGTGGCCGCAGTTGGCGTAGGGCAGGCAGAAGGCGGCCGTGTCGGGGAGCGGCGGCCGCCGTGCGAGGAGCGGGCTGGAGGAGCGGGCAGGGCCGGGCAGGCACCGGGCCGGGACCGCGCCGCAGGTCAGTGCAGGGCGCTGGGAAGCGGGATGAGACCTTCCGTAAGCCAGCTGGTGATGGGGGGCCGGGAGAGGGGTAAGATCGGGCTGCAGCTCGGTGCCTGCGCTGGGAAGGTGCTGAGCCCGGCTGCAGCTGAGTGCACGGGCTGTGGGGCCGGAGCTGGGTTACGGCCCGGGCATGGTTCGGTGCTTGGCCCCTGGGGCTGGGTTGCAGGGCAGTGGGGGATTCAGAGGGCCAAGAGGTGGGCTGAGATCTGGGCACAGCTCGGACAGAGAGCCGGGACCTGGGCACAGCTCAGTGCACGGCTCGGACAGGGAGCCGGGACCTGGGCACAGCTCAGTGCACGGCTCGGACAGGGAGCTGGGTCCTGAATACCATTCAGTGCATGGCTCCGGAGTGCCAGGACACAGGCTGTGACCTCACAGCAGCCAAGGCTGAGACCTGGCAGCAGCTCGGTGCAGGGACAGGTACTGTTCGTGCGGTGGAGCATTGACCTGTCTCCCCCGACTCTGCTCCAAGGTATCTGCGGGACCAGCGGAACCTCCGTGGAGGTGCCCGGACCCTGACAGAACCAGCTGGGTTCTCCCGCAGCCCCCGGGCGGGAGAGGGTCTTTAATCACCCACCCACCCACGCAGGCAGCTCCTAGAATCAGTGAAGATTGTTTACTGCCCGGTGTTCATAACCTTGTCCCTTTGAGATGTTAATCAGCTCCTGCCTCCCTGGTTTAGGTGTTGTGTAAATGTGTAACGAAATCGCAGTCTCGAGCCCCAAATCTGAGCTGTACAGGGCTCTGTGCAGAGCCGGTGCCGGGGGAAGGCAGCATTCCCGGTGGGCCTGGCGATTGGACAGCCAGATGACCTGATTCGGTTGTTATGCTGTGTAATCTGGAGCAGGCTGCTTGTCTTTTTCCCCTCTCTCCTGCTTTCTCCATTTATAAGATACAGGTGCTAACACTTAGTGCTGGTGTAACATATGAAAAACATATTTTTCATTTCTTGAGACGGCTTTTCCTTCCTCTTGTTAGGCTACACGTTAGAATGATCTTGCGCTGTAAACTGCTTCTAAACATGATGACTGAAAATAGAGCAAATTTTTATTAGCTGCTTTGCAAAACAGAAATTACAAGGGGGATGACAACAGTGAAGCTTGCCCGAGGCAAAAAGGGGAAAAAGGATGTTTGGGCTGGGCTAATTGGGGCCATACCTCTTCAGACTGGAATGAGTCTGGACTGAATATTACCCATCCAAACAGGTTTTAGAGCAGTAGGAGGAGTCCAAGACTGACTGGAACTAATTTACTCATTTCCCTCCCAAAGGCTGACCCAAAGACCTGTATCAAAGAGTTGCACAAGAGATAGAGACTGGAATCTCTCTGAATGTGCTGCCTGCAGACTTAAGACTGGAGACTCGAGATGACTTCTCACAAGAGATGCTTTCAAGAGGGGTTGTGCTGAAGACAGAGTGCTGCAGCCTCTAACTGGGACAGCTCCTGCTGGTCTGGAGCTGAGACCCAACTTCCCTCCCTCTCTTTTCCCTTGGAGATGTTGCAGAGATTTAATCTGACCTCTTCCTGCTCACCTGAAGAAGCCTGCTGTGGCAATGATCCCTCAGCCAGATCCGACCACCAAAGAGAAGAGAATTGTGCGTTTGAAGCTGGGCCGTCGTTGTAACTGAACTGGAATTTACTCCCTGCTTGTGCTCCCGGAACGACTGCCCTTCCTCTGCTTGTCTGTTTGTGCTGTGAGCCACTTCTCCCTGATCTTGTTTGGAATTCCTGAGCTTTCCACGCTGAATTTGCCCATGGCTTTCCTGATGAAGAAGAAGAAATTCAAGTTTCAGACAAGTTTCACTCTAGAAGAGCTGACTGCTGTCCCCTTTGTCAATGGGGTTCTGTTCTGTAAAATCAGGTTGCTAGATGGAGGAGACTTTGCTAGTTTATCTACCAGGTAAGACCCTGCCTGCAGACTTGGTGCCTCCATGTGTTTCTTTCCCTGGTTATTCTTCCTGTGAGTGGGTTAGCATGTGGCCACCACTTGCTTACCCCTCGATGGGATTTTAATAGTTCTGTTGTAGGGCCCCACATGCCATACCATTCTCTGGAGCAGGGGAAGTACATAGCTGGAGAGTTCTGAACCTGGGTGGTGTTGGCTGATTCGAGCTGGATTGAATTTTTCAGAGATGAGGGGAGGGAGTGGGAGGTCACTCCCCTTAAAGGGGATTAAATCCTCTCTTCTCTTTGCCCCTCCTCCGTGCCCAAGTTCTCACACACTCTTTCAAGCCCTGTTCTGTATTGCCTTCATGCCTTACTTGAAACTTAACTCCGTAGAAAACTGTCTAAGCAAATCAGCCCTTCCCAACTTCGCTCTCCCCCTTTGATACTGAATTTCTCTTCTTGGTAAGGGTGGAAATAGTTTGTTTTGCATTACAAATTGCTGTGCAAGGGAAAACTGCTGCCTGGAGTCAAAGTTGTCAGTGTTAAAGACCCTGTTTATCTCCTTGAACTGATGCCATTGCATTTCCCACTTCAGAGCAGCAGTGTTTTCTGTGTCATGTTGGGATCCTTTTGCTACACATCTTAAAAGGTTCTGCCATCCCGTATTGGCATTCCTCTGACTCCTTCAGGCAGGTCTGTCCCCACTCTTGTTACTAATTGCTAATAAAAACTTGCTTTGTTTCCAACTATGCACACAGATTATCACGAACAGTATGCAAACATGAATTCCAGAACAGCCCAGACTTGCTTTCTGCTTCAAAATGTGAAGGAAGCCTTCAGTGGCTTTCAAAACTTGTTTTTTTGCTTTCCTGAGTGACTGCTCAGTTTTAAAGGTACAGGATTAGTTTGTGCTAGCTGTTAACTGCTTTATCCCAGGGCTAAAGCCTGGTTGGTTCTGGTTTTCCTCTTTGTGGTGCTGTGTACTGAGCTTTCTCATTTCAGGAGAGAGGGTTTTATTAGGCAAGCATAAAACATTTCTGTCTTGCAAACAGAAGTAGTAGGGCAGTGCTCAAAGCTTGGGGTTTCCTTTTCAGAGGCACAATGCAACCTCATCTGAAGTAGGTAGAAGCCGAGAGTATGGAACACCTCCAGAAATGGACTTTGAATTAATTTCTCTTTTGCAGAAAATCTATCAAAAGAGCTTTTCCTCACAGTGTTCTCCCCTGAGGCTAAATCCTTGGGTTTGGTGGAAGCAGTTTATCTAAGGAACTCAAACAGTATGTGAACTTGGAAAGAAATTAACCCTTCCACTTCCTGGAGTCATAATAGAATAAGTGGCACTTGGAGGGTGTCTCAGAAAAATCCTGTGCAGAGAAATGTCCATCTCCCTCTTCTTGTTGTCCCTGAAAGCGGCTTCTAGGAGCCATCCCTGGGATTTGCTGGTGCTGCCAGCCGTGTGGGTTGTTTTCTGAGCTGGCTGGGGTTCAGCAGTTCGCTCAGCGTTGCAGATGTGTTCCAGCAGAAAAATCAACTGTAATTCAAAACCAAACACATACGTAGCTCTCAAAACGAGCGGAGGCAAAGTGAGCTGGGGGTTTCCCGCCTTTCCCCCAACCTGTCTGTGCTCTAACTGAAAGCACATGGAAACCTGTTCCTGCCTGAAAAGTTACGGGTCTCAGTGGTATTGAGTCATTTGACCTTTTCCAAATATTTTTTCCCTGTTGCAGTTAGAGAAACTTCAGGAGGGATGAATTTTCAGAGGAGTTACTGTGTGGAGAGGCTCACAGGTCATGCCTTGGCTTTGCTCTGTGCTCCCCTCTTCATTTCTATCACCTTTTTGATACTCACTGGGAAAGATTAAAGGAAAAGAGATACTGTGTAAGTGTTGTGTTAGAAATCTGTAAGTTATTTAGAGTCTGTGATTGTTTCTCTGAAATCAACCACTTCCAAAACTGATTTGGTTTGAGGTTGTAATGTCTGGCAGGTAATCTGTTGTGAGCTGCTTACGTACAAAATATGGAGTTTGCTCCGGAATCGATTTGGGCTTCTGTGATCTGGGCCATGTGGCTGTGATTGAGCTGAGCTGTAGCTCTTCATGACCATGACTTTTCAGAGAACTAATCTAAATAACGTGTCCTATGTCACCTGGAATCTGTAAACTGAGGTTAGATGTAGGTATAGGAACTCTTCACAGGAAACATTAAATCAGTTTATGTAGTTATAGTGTGGAAAGAGGAGTGTTATACAGGAACCTCCAGAGACAAATTTTTCAGGTTATTTACAATAAGCTTACTTGACACCTCATGCATGTCTGTGGCAGGAGGTGGGAGTATGATATACCCGATGAATTGTCAGGTGGTACTGGCATCATTTGACCAGCCTGTCCTGGTCCCAAGTCCAGCTCAGCCTGGGCTGCACATTCAAAGCTGTCACAGCCTGGTGTTCTGAGTTTGGTGGGACACACACTGGGCTGGGATCCCCTTCCCAGACTGCTCACACTTCTGGCTGGAGGGGAGCCTGTCTGAAATGTATTAAGACTAAATGCTCTCAGGAATTCAAGGATGTCTGGAAGAGGTTCAGGTCCTGTCAGCACTTTTAGCTTTGGGGATCTGCCTCTCCTGGGTTTTCTGGTTTGTTTGGGGGTTTTTTACTTATTATTTTCTTGCAGGCAGGTACTCTATTTCCAATTTTCCCATTCTCAGGCCTTGCATTAAACCACAGGTATTTTAAAGACTAAAGTTTCAGCTGTAAATATCTTTTTTGCTTGTCAATTCCTTTCCTTTTGTAAAGTTTCCTTAGGCTGTTCTGGGGCTTCTGAGGAATAAAACTCACAGGTTTCACTTTACGGTGCTCTGTGTTAAAAGCATCTATTGTGTCTGGGTTTATCACCTTGCAGTTGGATTACAGAAGTTTAGCATCTGAAAAGTTGTCTAAGCTAGGTGTAGGCCAGGCAGGTGCTGTATTTCCTCATGGAGAAGTACCAATATATTCCTTGAATATTATTAATCCAGATACTTAAATAGCACAACCACCAGTGAATTCAGTTGCCTCCCAAGTATGTTTAAAAATAGCAGGCACAGAGAAGTAGGGATGTATTCATGGCAACCGTTTTTGTGGAGCAGGTGGGCGGCTGCATTTTGTACCAGTTTGGAGCTTTCTGGGGGGTTGTGAAGCTTTGTTCCTAGAGAGATGAGACAACAAGTTCATCAGGAGGTATCCTATCCATGGATCAGTGCAGGCAGGAGCCTGGATGTCCAGATGAGTGCCTAAAGCTGCAGGCTGATGCGGTAAGTTCATATACATCTTTGGGTATCCCAGGAGAGGAAGACAGTTAAATTCCCCCTCTCTGCTCACAGTTCACGTTGAGTGACAGCCACATGCTCTTTGCCTCGGTGCTGAGTGATTTCTGGCTCTGTGTTGGCAGCGAGCGTTGCTGGTGCACAATGTGAAGGAAGTGGAAAGCCAGGTGTTATCCACAGACTCCTGACACCTCATCCTACATTGTTCTGTTAGCCTGCCAACAGTTTCACTCTGGTATTTCTGGATTTGAAGGAAGGGATTGTATTCTGAAAGCCCCTGTCTAACTCTAGAGCAAAGACTGTTTTACATGAGTTGAGCGGCTTTGAGGACATTTCCCACCTTCCTCATTGTTATCTGAAGGCACCTCAGACTATATTTCCTTTGAGACCATGCTCTTCCAAGCATCTGCGGCATTTCAGCTTGGTTTTCTGATCCTGGCACCCATTGCAGCAGTTTGAAACAATGAATGTAGTTTGTCTCCTGCAGTCCTGCCCTGTTTGCATGTGGACTTGATCTGGGAAGACCTGACCCTGTTGGGGTGGTCTGACCTCCAAGTATGTCAGTGCTACAGCCTGAACTCACAATGTTCTTAGCCTTGCAATTTTTAATTGAGTCAGTATGAAAGGCCACTTCCTGCACTGCATACTTTATTTATTTTTTGGGGGTGTAAAGCTGCATCCAGAAAACCAAAGAAATGCTGACATTTGGGAAGGTACCTCACACTAAGAGCTCCCTGTGGACTGAGGTCAGCTTTTGTTTAAGTGTGGCTCTGTCATCATCGTGTAGGCACAAATGACCTGAAGCTACTTGCTTTTGGCAGCTAGTGGGATAAAAAGCATCGTAATGCCTTAGTGATAAACAAAACTTACTCACTTCTGTAGGACATAACTAAAGGGGAGAATCATTGCCCTGCTAACACAGGGCTGGTGATTCAAAAATTTTTGTGAAGGGAAGTGCAAGTTGTGTCATCTCCAGAATGCAGCTATTGGTGGTGGGAGTTAGAAATCAACAATTTCACTGTCTTTGCATAAATAGTCATTGTGCCTGACACTACAGGATCCTTCAGGTAATTAAGCTGATCACATTTAGCTTTTTCAGACCAGAAAAACATTAGCTGTTTAATCAGAGACTGAAAGACTGATTCAGTCTGGTTGAGATCTGAATCTTGACTACTGTCTTCCTTAAAAAAAAAGGTTAGGTAACTAAATCATTTTTTCTAGAGTTGCCAAGAGGGAAGAAAACTGGCTGTAGTGAAAAGTGGATCACTTGCTGCCTTTCGATTCCAGTGGGATTGTCACAGTTTAGTAGAGCAAGGAACTTGGTTGTGACTTTAAACCATTCTCCCAGTTCCATATTTTAGGACAGTATGTGCTTGGCTCTATCCTGTGCTAGAGCATGTGGTGTGTTAATGTATTTTAAAAGTACTTTTGTAGCAAACGTGTCTGGAAATGCAGAGCTTTCTTACATGTACAAATATTCCTATTACACAGATCAATAGACTTAGTTTTCATGTTCCACAGCAGCTTCACATAACATCCTTCCTTCCTGGCAGAGCCTCAGGAATAGGCTGGGAGTGTTAATGGAGAGATGATTTGAATACAGCCTCTAGAAGTGACTTACAATAAAACGTGACCTATTTCAAGTTAGTATTAAAGCATAGTACCTGCAGTGCCTTGCATTCTGAAACAGATACAGAGAAACTAAATAGCAAAG